ATGAAATAAGACAGAAAAATCCATCAAAGACCCAGGACTTTCAGTCTGATCCAGCTATGGTTCACTGAAGCCATCAAACAGCCTCAGTGGAAGCATGGAAGAAGCTGTTGTTTAGTAAATGAAACAGAGAGCAAAGGCTGAGGTATGCCAACATACACAATAACTGGACTGAAAACCAGTGGAGTTTGGTTCGATTTTTTTCAATACGTAAAGAAAAGGTCAGAATCAAAGTACAACAGTGACTAACTACAGCCATGTGGAAAACACAGTGGAGGCATGGTGGTGTTGAAGATCTTGTCAAAACTGGTAGAATTATGAATGCAGAAAAGATTTGTCCATCTGGAGAGCTTCTGATTGATAACAGCTAAATATTTAATTGCGGCAATGATCCCAAAAACACTGTGAATGCAGTAAAGGCATACCTTGATGGAAACAAATATAATGGTACACATCCATCCATCATGGATTGGCCTCGCTGGAGCCCAAATCTCAGCGTTATTGAAGCAGTGTGTGATCATCTTCACAAACGGAATGAAAGGCAAACACCCTTCAAGAAGCCTGTTTTTGAAGACCACTTAAATAAATAACAAAGCAAGTGGCCTCAGAGAGTTCAGCTGTGTGGAAAAATAAATGTTGTCATACCAAATATTGACTTTTAAGTCTGTACACTGTGCTTCTAATTATGTTTGCAGATAAATCACATCCCATTCGCCTAGCACAATCTAAACGATGTGTGGCTCAAGACTTTTGCACAACACTGTAAATAAAACTTTTTTCTACATGTATCTTTCACGCTGCAGGTTACATGTGCATGAGTACCTGTCCCCATTAAATGTAAGACCTGAAATATCAGATAAGCAAGATAAATGAGTTTAAAGACCGTTGAGAACATTTCTAATGACTTGCAGGATGATTCACCGTAAGAACTGAACCGAAGAGCTGAACAGCAGCAGCTGCCCGCGCAAGCTCAACACTCTTGTGTTACTTTTAAATACCCGAGTAATGTAAAACAAGGAACACAAAACGGAGTTTAAATACTTACCAAGACCCACTTCCACGATCAGCAGCAATGTTTAGACATGACAGACACGCCAGTTCCGCAAACTCTTCCTGGGTGCGTTTGTTTTACTCTACTAGGAAGAAACGAAGCGGAGATAGGTGGATCCACAGTAGGAATAACACTCCCCCCCCTTCCCCCTTGTCTCAGTCAACTGACGCTATAAATGAAATGCACACAAGCTCGGCAGCTACGTCAGAGCCACGTGACTGTGAGAAGCGTCTCGGGGACTGTCGCGCTATGGCTGAGCAAGCGGTGATCGAGAACAGAGGGTGAGTATTTCTATTAACCTATCACATTCCCCGGCCTGTCAGAGTATGTCTATCCACGGTAATGTTCCTTTATTATTTAACAGACACTAAGTGTCTGTTAAATAACAGCGACACTGTGCACCTTTTCCTGAAAAATGCCCGAGTGTTGTTGTCGAAAGTTAGACAGGCTGTCAGAGAGAGGCACCACTTGGGTCAAGGTAAACCTGCCCCCCCCCCCCCCCTCCAACCTCATTAGTTAATTGCTGCCTTCTTGTAAAGTGGCCCGTACTAAATGAGAGTGCTCGAAGACTGCAGAAGGTCGTTGAAAAACTCACCGGTGCTTTGAAGGTATTGTCGGTGTGGTCCACAGAAGTAAAATAACGCTCTTGTTGCAAAGCCGCTGGACTGCCATGTTTGTTTTACCTCAGAGATAGTAGAGCAAATTGGAAAACAGGTGCTCTTAGAATCCATCCTACCTCGCAAACCATCCTACCCGTTGTTTCTGTGCATGCGCACAACACGAAATTAAGTAGCGAACCGTCCTACCTTTGTAAATATTAGCTACAAAAATACTGACGGGTAAAATTAACTGCCAAACCATCCTACCTTTGTGAATTTCACCTGCAAGCATACTTAAACAGTTAAAATTCAGTGGCGAACCATCCTACCTTTGTTAATAACAGCTACAAACATACTGACGGGTAAAATTAAGTGCCAAACCATGCATGTTTGGCACTTAATTTTACCCGTCAGAGTGAATGTTACCTACAAGATACTTTAACGGGTAAAATGAAGTGGCAAACCATCCTGGCTGTATGAATATGACCTATAAGCATACTCTGATGGGCAAAGTTAAGTTGGTGTTGGAATTACTCTGTGACAGCAGAGTTACGGTAGAACGTTTTGCCAAACTAGGATGGTTTGTCAGAACACCGGTTTTAAACAAGAGTTTTGCAGTGGCGCGAATATTTTTATATTCATGTGCATAAAAAGCCCTCTGGAAATGCACAAAAAACCTTGATAAAACCATAAACTTTTTTTAAGTGTTATAGTAAATGCTTGATAATTTAAATAATGGAGATGATAGTTTTGCTGTCAGGCGTTGTCATCGGCCAGTCCCTGTCCTTTGCCCTCACGCGCTTACTCTTTTATTATATCTCCAGGGTCATTCATAGAATGCTGTCTACTGTTGGTGTTCCCAGTCTGGCCAGGAGTGTGTGGGGCTATGTGGATAAAACAATAAGGTAATGTTATGAGCATCCACACACAGACACAGGTGTGACACTCTTTTACACAAATATCCACCTCCACTCAGACATTAGCTTTCATTATTGTAGCCTCACTTTGTTAGTTTGTATGTGTAACTGTGCAGGTCCAGTTTCCTTTCAGCTGGGTGATTTTCATGAGACTTAGAGTAATAGAACGTAAGCAAAGGGAGAACTAAACGTAAACTTTTGTGACTCTTTAACTTACCTTTCACAATAACACACAGGGTGTCTCCTGCGTTTTGATAACCCTGGCAAACTCACGGGTTTATCAAGTAATTGCGTCTCCAACAATTGAGTCCAACACATGTATGTTAACAGGCTGAGACTAAATGGTTGCTTATCAGTGCAAAGCAATATAAATGAGCAGCACCACCCCGATTAACAAAAACCTGTTCAAAAGGCATTGAAATTGACGTTTCCAGACTTGTAAAAGGCATTTAGAGTGGGTTAAAAGTGAAAGTGCAGTTCACAAATCACAGCCATCTCCTTGAGGTGTTCTGCATTATAAGGTGAAGACCCTACAATAATGCAGAGAAAACCCCAACAGCAGCCCAGATGAGAAACACATGCGCATATAGCGTAAATGTGCTTTTATGTTAAAAAAATAATTAAGTACAACTAGTTTTGGATTGAACCTTCAGGACCTTCCTTGCTGCCCAAGCATCATGTGTAATGATTTGAAAAAGAAAACGACAGCCATGGGGGGTGGAGGACAGTCTTAAAATGAGCAAAATGACCAATGAGCTCCCCAAACAGTAAAACCTTCATGGGGGGGGGGGAGATGATCAGAGCAGTTAAATTAGGCTGATTTTTAAGTCTGTGACTCTAGTTGTGCCTAAACAACACAGTAATGAGGCTGCTTCATTATGTCTGCCACATGTTGGAAAGGACTTTATGTGAGTTCTCTTGCAGTACTGACTTATTTAAAACAGAGGACCACTCAGGCAGCACAGATTCGCTGCGCTGCGCTGCTGCTGCTCACTTAGAAAATAGACAGAAAAATCCTTGTTGTTGTCTTTTTGTGTGTGCGTGCGTCTTTGCGTGTGTGTGTGTCACATTTGTTTAATTGTAAGAATTATTAGAAGTAGGCTTAGGTAAATGTTGAAACATGTGAAAGGGACTGATTAAAATCGCATCAATCACGTCCTGTATCGATGTCTCAGAATTCAAGGTGACATATTCAGGTGTTCTATCCACTTAGCAGCCGAAAACCTTACAGACACACAGACAAACAATTTAAGTTGCCCTTTATCAAAACAGCTGTAGCTAGTGAAAAGGACAAATAGTCCTTTATCAAAACAGTTGGAGATAAGATAAGATATAACTTTATTAATCCCTCGGGTGGGTTCCTCTGGGAAATTCGATATGAATGTTTTGATAATTACTAAGTGAACAAGATGTCTGGTTAGACTCTGTAAAGAAGGCCTTGTTAAAGAAACTAATGTGACCGATGTCAGGGAAGGAGAACATTGAGTCAAGTGTAGTGTGACGACAGCCGTTTGTTTCCTCTTTTGATGTCTCTGCGTGTTGCTACATGAGGTTTGCATGTCACAGAAGAACATTTTGTTGTTATGGTTGGTTTTTGTTTTGGGGTTTTGTTTTTTTTTTTGGGGGGGGGGGTTGACTTGCCTAAAGACAAAAGAAAGCAAAGAAACGAAATTTTTGTGTCACAGCTTTGTGCTCTGTTATGCTTTTCCCTCAAGACCACACTGGGCCAGTGGAGGAAAGCAGAAGAGCTTATTTCAGAGCCAGCTGTGAAGTAAGAAGTTGCTTTCCCACACAGAGCAGCTAATGGAGAGGTCATGAGATATGACACTTTTACAATAAACACAGCTGTTTAGACATTCAGCCAAAAACCTTTAAGTGTCTCCTTACTCTTAAGTCACACCCTTCTGTAGTTTAGTTATGCCTTCTAGTAGAAGGCCTGCCATAACACGTTGCCATGAATTAGGAATGAAAAAACCTTTTCATTAAAAAAGAACATTGCAGCGTGTGTTGGGTTTGCAACGTTGTATCTGAACAAACCACATGACTTCAGGAACAATGGGACTTGTTAACTAACAGTGTGTCCACATGAATCTGTGCAGAAGTCATGCATGTGAATGTTTACAGAAATATCTCAGATTTATCAACATCAATTTAACATTGCTTCTGCTCATAATTTACAGTTTTCCAGAGTACCAAAAACCACAAAATGCTCAGAATTACAATTTTAAAAAAATCACACAAAAAACCCCAAAGTGGAAAGATGTAGGCTTTTACCTCTCCATCAATGTTATTCCATTTATCTGAAAAAAGAAACAAATCCCTTTGGGTATCTTAAGAGATCTGTGCTTAAATAAATACCTCACAAACGGCATTGGGTCAGAATTTTCTCTCAACAGTATGGGAGACTGATAAAGTCATACAGAGAAGCATTAATACAACGTATTGGTTCCTAAAGCATAAAGCTTCATGGATGCTTCATATTAAGGACTGCTCTGTTACATTAAAATACCAACACGGAACAATCTAAACATTCAGTGTGAGGACTCCATGAAGAACTAAATGACAAAGCGATCTCTCCCTGGCAATGCAAAACTAAATTAACACTCCTAACAGCAAATGTAGAAGCCTTATCAGTTGAAAAATATGGTGTCTATTTGTTTTTCTGCATGAAATTGTTTGCACAATTTTGCAATTTGTTATCAAATCATATTTGGATCATTTATTTTTTTACCCAGATTTTGCACTCTGGAAACTCCAACAAAAACATACACCATAAGGCTACAGTCTTATGGTGTATGTTCACACCTTTAAACCACTACATTTTTCAAAGCATCTGTGATAAATTCTGATGGTAATTTTGTGTATCAAGCCTGTTTTTTGCTTGCTTAACCTGTTAGTAACCCTGATTGTTTAGCGTGTTGCAAAACGCAGTCCAAGCGGTAGAAAGATGAGAAATGAGTTAAGTGAGGACCATACAGTAAGAGTCTGGTTAGCTAGGAGTCAATGTTCTGTGGTGCAGGTTTGTGTTATGAATCTTAGCCCTACGACTGTGAGTACCCCAAAGCAGCATGATGATGAATCATTATTATAATGATGAACGTTTGAAATATTAATATAAGGCAAACCATTCATATTCATACTGTTGTGCTTTTGTGTACGTAGGTGGTGCTGGATTCCCAACTGGCTGCCATCGTGGTGTCCAACTTCAAAGAGCCATCTGCAAGCTTCAGAGGAGAAGATGCTGCAGTGTAAGGATAAACCCAGTGTAATTTTTTTTTTTTTAATTTAAAACATACACTTTTTGTACAGTGTGCAAAAGTAAAAACTCACCCACCTGTGTTCACTACTCAAACACAACCTGTTTTGCTAAACAAAACCTGTATTGGCTAGAAATCAAATAACTTTTTGTAAATATGAATTAAATCTGCAAGCAGCGATGACCGTGTTGGTCATCGCTGCTTGCAGATTTAATTCATAAGACTTTCTTTGGCAAATTTGAGGTTGCTGCGGTCAGTCACCTTAAAACTGTAGCCCAAAGTGCA